TTGTTCCATGAGATCGAAATCAGGTGATGATCTAATACGTAAAACAACACTGTCCAAATTCTTCTTGAAATGATTACAGATTGCATAGGTGAGTGTACAACGTTCGCCAACTTGGATATCTCTTGGTGTTTCAGCAATTATGTATAAACCTTCGGGTGTTCTTAATAGTGTTGGTTCAGCAATGGCAAGACCAGATGTTGGATTTAATGAAAAACCAGTAGCTAACCATGTTGTGTATGGTTTCATTGTTGGTAAACTTAAACGTCCTTGTCCATTACGATCCAATTGGGTACGATTGAATACGATTGAACGATAATAAGATGCACGGGTATGCTCATCCAACTAAAATAGTAAAAAGAATACAATGTGAATAACGAAAATGAGACGAAACTTTTGAATGAATAAAGCTAACAGCAATATATTAACTTTTTTGATTAATAGATTAATAACAATAGCTTACAATATTTGATGGGATTACTAATGATGAATCGGCTTTTTTAAAATAATCTTCCAACATTAATCGAGCTGCTTCACGTGGGCATTGTTCTTTTGTTAAATATTGGTCACGGTAATTTCTGATTATATTGTAGTCCATATGATGCATTTCTTTTGGAAGAAATAATGATGAAAAATCAGTGACAAATGCTAATCCAGAGTGCTGAAATGAAAAGCCTTCGAATGAATCTCATCTGACTTTCATTATCTTGAAAATGTTGAAATGCTTACCATGAGTGTGAATGCTTCTCTCGATATCATACTGGTACGTTGACTCATTCTTTGATACCATTCTTTTGTACCGTATGCAGCTTGAAAATGTTCACCTTCAAACATTTGATTTTCAGGTTCGTCAGAGTGTTCTTCATTTGAATCTCGTGGCATCGACTGTGCGGATGCAAGCATACCGACTTGAACATTCCATTCATTTTCACCAACTCTGTATTGTTTATTGTTGTAATCGTATTTTCTACTTTTTACAACGTCTCTTAAATTAGACTTTTTATCAGCGTATAAATGTTCCATATTTCTTGTTATATATGCATCATCACCAGCGACACTTTTCAATACATCAAAACAACGTAAGCCAAATGCCATCTTTCTAAGAAATACTCGTAAGATATGTTCTTGATGATGTTTTCTTAGTCTTTCTTCTTCAGCAGATAATGGTCTTGGTTGTCTGGCTTCTCCACTGACTTCACGTGGCATCACTACTGGACTTGATGACGTATCTTGACCACTAATTGGCAGACCTTGGACAAGTGGGGTAGATTCATAGCTAATCATGTAACGTAATAGACGTTCTTTTGTGATGTCATTGGGTAAACCTTGTACAATGGCGTCGTATGAGATGACGTTGACACCAACTGTTGATTCCTAAAAACCAAAATGATGAATTAAAAACGAATTCCACAAAAGTTAGTTATTGCGTTGTGTGAAAACTAGAAGAATAACCGATCTTTTACAATTGTCAGATGTTTGTGAATTGAAAGTAGCAGATTCCGTTGTTCATCGTCATTCCTCTGAAGCTTACTGTGAGCACATCGAATCAAGAAACAGTCTGAGTACTGGAACTTGCTACTATAAGAGTCTGTTTATTTCAGAAACAAGCGATGCTCGCTCACAGTTAAGAAGGCTTTCTCCGACTGACTGTTAAAATTTCTGATAAAAATGGTTCTCAAAAAAAATCTTCTAAAGCCGCATCGTTTAACACTCTTTTCTTTAGTAGTAACTTTAAAAAATCTTGAAACTTACGGATAAACCATTGAATACTAAATCGAGTCTTGGTTCTCTGCGTCGGATGTCGTCTCTTGGTGTTGATGATTGATCGGTACCTGTTTCTCTTTCTCTTGTACTCATTGTCAAATTGTTGCGAAATAGACCATCAACAGAGAAACGATAGGATTCTGCAACACTGATACCTACGACTGGATTGAAACCATACACTAACAATGTTGAATATGGTAGCATTTGACGTGTCATCATGATTTCTAATGTTGAATTGAAAACACATCGAAGTGGTTTTGATGAATCTTCTTGTTCTGGTTGAATTGAACGTGGTGCTATTGTACAATATTTTGTGGGTTCAATGTTAAATGTGCCAGTTGATGTAATTTTTCCATTTGTCAAGACAACATAGGTCAATGGAAAGGTTTCATAACGTTTCATGGATTTCATTGGTAATAATTGAACGTAGAAATAGGCTGGTCTTCCAACTGTTGGCATCATTGTTGTGACGGGTTCCATTGTTGACGATGAACGATGACGTAAACCAGTTTTATCAGCAACGATCTCAAGTGATAATTTTGCACCAGTTTCACGACGTGCTGGAAGTGGCATTAATGCTACACGTTGTGTTCGGTATCCACGGTGTTTTCCATCTTCTCCCATTGGTGTAAGCTGGAAAAAGAAGAAAATACTAACACATGAACATTTCGTTGAGAAAATCTTCAAATCCATACCGTCAAATAGACTCCAATACAATTGGCTGGTATTTCAAAATTAAACAATCCGATATCGGTACGGTCACGTGCATATAGTTCACGGATTTCGATTGTCTTTGGTGCATCGGTCTCAAAAAGCATTGTGACATTAACTAACATTTCTTCAATTTTGGCTGGTTTTCCATCTGGACGTTTTGCTATTATCTAAAAAATAACAATGGAGTCTTAATAGAAGTTCTCTCAAAGTTTCATTTTTAACTTACTTCATATTCGTTTTTTTCACCAGCTACAAATTCTAATGGACGAATATCATAGATGACATCACGATTGAAGATTGGTATGATGTATTTGATGAAACGTTCTTGACCTAAAAGTTGTGCAGTAACACTAACGTAAACGGTAAGAGCCAAAGATCTGGTTAAATCAACACCGAATGTTTCCATTAAATCAAAATCCATTGGGACACGACCATTAACATCGATGACTTTTGTTCTTAGTCCTGTTGGTACTTTGAAATCATCTTGACCCATAACTCTATCTGTAGGTTCACCACTAATCAAATCTTGTTCTGTTATTTGTCCAATGGCGACTGTTGCACGTCCAAATATTGGTTTATCACAATCATCAGCAATTTCAATGAAGCCACGGAACGATTTTTCACTACGGAGTAAAAAGTGTGGAAAGAGAACTTTCATATCGAAGCCTGATTGTGTTGGACGACTGATTAATATTTCTACAGATGATGTGACATTTTCCATTGTTGCCGATACCATCCAGTTGCCTAATGTGAGAGTTTGAGATTGTTCAGGTAGACGATATTGGACAACATCGCTCAAACCTAAACAAAAGGAAGAATGTTATTAATCTTGTTCGACTATTTCTGTGTTTTTATTCACCATTTCGAATCTGAACACGTTTGAAATCAGCGACTCGTCTCATTCGGCTGTCCTACAAAAACAAATGCAACGTCGTCTCCTTTGTTACAAGTATTTTATCTTCAAAACAACTTACATAGATGTCAATATACAATTCACCGCTCTCGACTGGAATTAAATTTTCGTCTGTGGCTACAACACGAATTTCGACGGTATCATTTGGACGATATGTTGTCGATGTTGTTTGTACCAACAAAACGTATCGATCGTCGTAGGTGATAACATCACGACGTTCGGTAAATTTAACACCGCCGGTTCCTTGAATAATTAATTCAGCAACACCAACGGGGCACTGTTTTGGTAAAGTTAAAGTAACGTTTTGCGTTTCACCTAGAATACAGATAAAAATGAGAATTTTTGAAGTTACTGCAAAGTTTAAGATACTATAACGGAATGTTGCTTCTGCTTGTATTCTGGAAGAATGAGCTTATATCAAAATGCATTTCTTTTTACCTGGTCTGACCGTTGCCTGTGCTCGTTGACTAAATCCTTTATATTTTAATTCAAAACTAATTTCAGCTGGTTGTTGTACATTGCCAATTGTGATCGATATTTCATTGGTTGAATCAACTTTAAATAATTTGGGTAAGACAATCAAATAGGAACTACGAACAAAAATGAATATATAGAATACAAATAGTTATTTGCCGGAGATTGATTAAACGTACTCTGATGCCAAACTCCATTGAATATAACATAAACTAATTAAAAGAAGAGCGAACTAAAATGAGAAAAAGTAAATGATAAGACGTTAACATTCCTTCAAGTATGTATGAGGTTGTGATCCAGTAAGCGTTTTCACAAAACTACTGTCTTCTTTACTTGGACTGCACTCTACAAAGTGTCTTCAGAAGCGGTAGCTATCGCATAGAGTCAGTAGCCGAAGTGGACCAATAACCTGTAGCAACATTATCGCATAAAATTCTAAAAATATGGTACTTACTTTCATTGTAAATGTTGTCTGTAGATTATTAGACAAGAATATGATTAAGTGAGGATATGTGACAGCTTTTATAGTAAAAATAAGGCAAGGCATTTCTTTAGAAAAAAAGAGAGAGATCAAAAATTGTCGGACGGCGAGGAGATAAATTATTTTCGAAAGAATGGATTTCATAATGGATTTCATTTGAATATACATGATAGGCTTTGTTCGACTTTAACATGTTGTTTTGTAGAAATAGTTGTATTGTTCAGTTTACTGTTACTCGCTGAAGTTTGTGCGTGTTAGATTGTCTACATTTCCTTGTCATTATTACGGTAGAATAGACTAGCACAGTATAGTCTGTGGATGATGTCGTTGGTTTTAGCTATAGTATGTCAGGAATTTCAATTGATGCAAAAGTGACTTTCTTTACTTATTTTCGGCCCAACATAGTAACGTTCTCATCGACACTGGAGGATAATGAAAGAAAGCCTTTTCTGATGATCGATTAGTTTATAAAGTTTCACCTGGAGATTTCGGTAGAAAATTGTTGTTGCTAAGTTCAAAATTTAAAACATGTTTTTCACAGTTCAGTGAGCTGTTAAAGAAGCAGTGAAAAATATGTACGCGTATTAATAGTCAGTTCCTGCAAGATCTTTACTGCCCAGAGTAAGTAAATCGAGTCGAGCGACATCAGAGATAAAAAGATTAGCCCTAGGTTCTACCTCTTTTCGTTGAAAAGTTATTCAAAAAATATTGGCAAGTACCATATTTTGAAATGGATAGCGTCCATAGTCGGTAGTGTACTTTTCTGAAGAGATCCGTAACCAAGACTTTTTATGGAAGAAAGATTGTCAAAATATGAAGATTTTAGCTGTTGATAAACAACAATTCTATACTACTAAGTGTCCTTTCTCAACTCTAACTTGTTGTATAATGGCTCAGCCTAATGCTGCCATCCTCCTCCGTTCGGCTAAGCCGAATTTTTTTAGGAGAAAGTCTAAAAGTCTAAAAAGCGAAAAATTCGGCATAGCCGAACGGAGGAGGATGGCAGCATGAGGGTAAGCCATTATACAACAAGTTAGAGTTGAGAAAGGACACTTAGTAGTATAGAATAAATAACAAATCTCTAAAAGTCTAAACTGCCAATCACCACCATAACATCTACAACATCTAAAAATAGTATCTTCACACCTTCCTCACGTAAAACCATGTGAAACAAGACAAGAGTGTTTTTTCCAAAAGTAAAATTTTGGTTTCCCCTTTGCTCACTTTTATTTGTACGAAGCCAACTTTCATCACAAGCGGCTTAGGGCACGCTTCATTAAAAAAAAAGCTCCAAAACTACGAGTTTTTGGACTCGAAACTACGAGTTCGGACTCGAACTTTATTAATTTTATATGCGAGACAAAGTAAATCTTATTTTCAAAAAATCGAATTCAGGTCTCACTAGGTTAGCTAGAAAACTTTTGTATGTTCTGGCCACATTGACATCTTTGAGCGTGTTTTCTCAATCAGGATTTTTGATTAGCCGTGAAAGAGCAAGTTTTACAAAAGAAAATCTATCTCAACTGACATTGTTAAAATGTAACAGAAGTTTACTTATGTAACTTTTTCTGTTATAACAAGATTAATGTGTTATACGGACGAGAAGAAAAAAGAAATATAAATAACGATAACGAAAACGTTTAAAAAAGTATCGGACTCGATATGATGCATAATTTCGCGCATTTTGTCAAGATGGATCTAAAAAGATTTTTAAGATTGAAAGAACAAAAGGTTACACTTTAAGATTCTCTTTTGACTAGTAGTCTCGGTAAAAGAAGACTCCATGTTCTCGTTGCTCTCCTTCTTCGGTGTGCCCTTGCATACGATACAAATGAAAGTTCCACATTATCATTCATTTTAGCCATAAGTATGAGGAGATGGTTAATAATCGCATTAATACATAATAAAATTCATTTTTTTCATTGTTAATCGAACATTTAGTTTTATTTTTGCAAGTTTTTCTATAGTATTTTAAAATCTCTATACTTCTTTCTTTATTAATTGTGCTTTATTGTATTTTTAATGAAGTAAAACAGTTTTTAATGTGATTTATATTTCATAGTTCAAATAGAAATAGATATATTATTTTGTTAGTATTAAGTAAATAACTAAATATCAGCAGTTACAGCTATGTATCCATCCATAACAATGAACAATATGTGTATAATTTGTATTTCGAAAGTTTCGAAGTTGAAATAATTAATCATCAGTCAACTGCTTGTTCATAATGATCAAACTTCGAATTGACATTTGTATTTAAACCAGTTTAAGTTTATTAACTCAACAATTAGATAATGACGATGATCAGTAAACTAGAAATATAAATTAGAAAATAACAGAAAAAGGGAAACATCAGAATCAAAGAAAAGAAAAAGGCTAATTGATTTGTTCTATAGAATTAAATTAGTTAAAGTTAAATTGTTGTTACCTTCAACATTGTCCTTCATTTTTTCGACAGGTATGTCATCCGAAATTTGATGATTAAAAATGTTAAAGACATTTTGTTGAATTCATTGCATATTGTTGTGACATTTATAAGTCTTCACTTCTGCTGAGTAAAGAATATTTTCAAGTTTTATCATTATCGTTATTTATTATTAAATTGAGACTAAATGATTTCAGTGATTATGTTATATCTTAAGAATTTTAATATTCTTTTCTTTCAGGATGCTATGTCTGTCATCAGGTAAATTGAAAACATTCTAAAATAACCTTCAATTTGTCTAAATACAATCAGTTGTGTTGCATATGCAAGTATTCTCTATTTGTCAATATTAATATTAATAACTAATTTATTTTCAACGTCAATAGATCGTCGTCCTTTTTAAAAGGCAACAAGTATTTCTTTATTATCATATATTCAACTTGAAAAAGATCCATTCTAACAAATTAAAAAATATACATTGAAAAGTCAAGATTCTTTTATACATTTCATTTTCTATTTCAAGTAAAATAATCTATCCGTCACTTCTTAGGTTAAAATAGACATCGGCTTTTGTCGCGATGTTTTGCACTCACTGCACACGTAGAAATTGAAACATTGGAGAGTTCTGAACGACATGGTTAATAAAATGAGATATTTTTGCAGAGAGTGTAAAACGATTATTTACTTAATACCAACAAAATAATATATCTATTTCTATTTGAACTATGAAATATAAATCACATTAAAAACTGTTTTACTTCATTAAAAATACAATAAAGCACAATTAATAAAGAAAGAAGTATAGAGATTTTAAAATACTATAGAAAAACTTGCAAAAATAAAACTAAATGTTCGATTAACAATGAAAAAAATGAATTTTATTATGTATTAATGCGATTATTAACCATCTCCTCATACTTATGGCTAAAATGAATGATAATGTGGAACTTTCATTTGTATCGTATGCAAGGGCACACTGAAGAAGGAGATCAACGAGAACATGAAATCTTCTTACATAGATTGTAAGAAGTACTTAGTCCACAGTGGCCATTCCCTATGCATAATTTCGTTGATAAACTCACTGCTATCTGTGTTTGTTCTAGCCAAATTCTTTGTAAACGAGCTTCACAGCGTGACTGAATAATTTCCGAATAGTTTCAACTTATTCATTGAAGATTTTCAATACTGATACATAATCATTATTGGTTATTGAAAAAAATGTCACGTCGAATTTCTAAAGTTTAAACTTCATAATATCGAGATAATGACCGAAAAATGTTGCACCTAATGTTATTAATTTCAATCTTATGAAGCCTAATTTTCTAGAATCTCGATTATGTTGTTGTTGTTTTTTTTATTGTTTCTTGCCACTATAAATATAACTTTTGTTTACAACAAGTATATTACATACAAGATAAACAAAGGTATGTTTTCTAATTTTGGTGAAACTTGAGGTTATTATTCTGTTTTACATATTTTGTGACTCTCCATGAAAATATATGATGAAAATTATTAAAAAAGAAATTTTCTATCAACTAAATAAATATTCAATGCATTTTTCTGTTGACAAAAAAAAAAAGAGGCCAAGTTATTGACTTTCCTATTATTACTCATGTTCTGTTTTAAAAAAACTAACAACATTTTTTCAAGTCAAGTAGCTTTTTTGAATTATAGTGTTTATAAATTTTTCTCTCAATATACGATTGTTTTTACTTTAAGAAAAAGAAAAAGAAAAAAAAACCCATAAAGTTATTTTATTAGTTTTAAATTTTATTTTAATTTTAATCATTATATGGGATCAACTCATCACTTTTCCCAATCTATAAGGTATGGATTTTCTTAAAGTTTTATAAACTTCACTGTCTACTTGTATTGATCAATGTCACCAGAAGTTATTGTCGTTTTTTCATAGAAATCAATTTTAATATTCACATGTATGAAATATATTTGTCATTTGTAAACTTAACACCTACTGTGTGAGTATGTGTACCGTATTTAATTCTGTAACATAGAAAATTTTAATAAGTTTTTTTTTTCAAAAAAAAAATTGTATAACTGTAATCATATCCAGCCATACGGCAATAACGACAAAATTATTTTACCATATGTTAATTTTCATACCATCATATATATATATATATATATATCATAAATAAAACTATATTCTTCTCACATTAGAACAAAAAATATGTAAAAAAAAATGTTTCATTTGTACATATTTTCCTTTTGTTCATTATCAAGTATTATAAGTTAGAATACTTTTTTACAGTACTGAAATAAATAATCGCTCAATTGTTCGTCCAACTAAAATGTTTTCTATTTAAAATAGTTGAATATTTTTTGAGATTGATAACTGTGACGTACGAAAGTTATTGTACACATCTTAAGAAGGAAAGTCGTTATACATACTGAATTCTCGTTTTGTAAATATTTCAATCGAAGTAGTAGTAGTGTATTGACACCTGGTTGTGAGAAAGTTATCTTCTTCTGTTCAAGTTTGATAATTATTTTCAAGGAACATTTCAAGCATAAGAAGAAGGACATTGCTTTCTTT